CCCCAGAGCTCCAGGATCAGGACCTCTGTCTACCAGCTCTACACTCTACTCGTGTCCCCATCTGGAGCAGTCAGGGTCCCCAGCATTCAAATCCCCCCTGCCTGGCCTTGTTGCTTGGCGTCCAGGAGCCTCCCAGCACAACATGCTTTTCTAGAACTAGGGAGGGAGGGAGGGAGGTGGCAGGGGCCGGAGCGGGCGCTCCCCGGGTGCTGCCAGGACTCACACCCTCTCTCTGGGCCTCCGTTCCCCTCCCAGATTTGACCCGCTGCAGCCTTTCCCATCTTGGGGTCTGACAGGTTTTTTCTTCAGTCTCTCAGGCCCAAAGTCGGGAGCCTTCCTCAACATCTCTTTCCCTTACACCCCAGCCCCACTACGCATGTTTGGGCATCCGCAAAGCCCCAACTCAGGGTGTAGCCCTCTGCCGCTCCATCTCACACAGAGCCCACGCCTCGCTCCTCATGGCCCTTCCTCTCTGGCCTCACTTTACCATCTGCCCAGCTCGCACTGGACCCCCAGACCGGCCTCCCTGCTGCTCCTGCCTCAGGGCCTCTGCCACTGCTGTTCCATGGCCTGGAATGCGCTTAGCTTCTTCCGGTCTCCGTGAATGTGGCAGAGACCCCCTCAGAGACACCCTCTGAGGGCCCTCCTGGGGGGCACGCCTCCCCATGCCCTGCCTTTTACCTGTTCTACTTTTCTTTTTGGCACTGACTGTGGTTGGCTCATTTTCTTGCCCTGTCTCACTATGGGAGGAAAGCTCCAGAAAGCCAGAGCTTTGCCCCTCTCATTTGCTGCAGTAGTCCTGGTGACTAGACAAAGCCTGGCACACACTAGGTCCTCAAGAAGCATTTGTTGAGTGAATGCAGGAGGCACAGAGGACCCTGCCCTGGGCCGGTTTCTCAGGGTCACGCTGACATCGCCAAGCAACTGGGCTTCTCTCGATTTCACGCAGGGAGAGAGATCAGAGAATGAACGTCAAATAGTCTAAAGGGAGTTGGGAGTCAGTGGACTGGACACCCCAAAGTAGGAAAGCCCCTCTCCTGAGACCCTCCACCCTGGGTGCCAGCGCCCAGGGCCTCACCCTGGCATCAGCCCCGCCTGCAAACGCCCCCACCCAGGGCAGCCTCCGTGCGGCACCGGCGCCAGCAGAGGCGGGCCCAGTAAAGGCCACAGTCAGCAGCTGCGCATGGAGCACCTCAAGGTTAGGCGGCCTTATCAGCGCCCGGCGCGAGCTCAGTCACGGAATGATGTTTTCCAAATGTTTGCTCAGTATTAGCAGGGTCGGGGACCTAATGTAACTTCTATTGAATATTAACTGGCCTGGGCAGAGGCACAGAGGAGGATGAGCCTGTCTCCCCACAGAACCCCCTGGGAGTGAGCGCCCGTGGGGGGCTGGGCTGGGGCTTCGAGGAAGACCTCACTAGCCGGCCCGGGCCCTGGCTGCCAGCCAGCCAGCCTATGCCTCTGGCACCTCTGGCCCAGTTTCCTGGACTGGGCTTCTGATGCCAGACATGCGTCCTGGGTCTGCCCATGGAGACCTAGATGGGGTCGTCTCCCAGCCCTTTGGCCCGGCTGTTGGGCTCAGAGACACCCAGGTTTCGCCCCAGAATCTGTCCTCCAGGGAGCCCACTGCTACCACCACGGAATATTCGCTGGTCAAAACTTTCAGGTCTACAAGATTTACAGTCCTCATCAGTCAAGAAGAGGTCTCAGGAATCTAGACAAGAAAGGTCCCTCCCAAGGCCATTGCCCCAGTTTTGATATGGGGGGCGGGGTGTCTGCTCAGCTCTGGGGAGCCTGAGCTTTAATCCCAACTAGCCCCTGACTCAATCACTCTTCGTCTCAACGTGCCTATCCATAAAGGGGGTGTAGAGACTCACAGACCTTCCTCCCTGTCCTGGGGACTCTTGGGTGTTAATCTCAAAGTCCTACGAAGGCCATCAGCAAGAGACAGACAGACTCTCCCCAACTCTCCTGACCACGGCTTCTGCGGAAGCCTCCTTGGCTTTGGGGAGGCCCCGCCAGGATGAGGAGGGTGTTGGGACTAAGAGATTTAGGTGGAGGCCCCCCGGCAGAGCTTGACTACAGGAGCAGCTGAACACTGCCACCCTGGTCACTGCTCAAACCAACCAAGTGAAAGCAGGTCCTTCTTCCCTGACAGCCAGGCCGGTAAGTAAGCAGTTGACTAACCCACGCTCACTCGCCACCAGCCCAATCTCCTGTCTTCCTGGCACAGAGCCACCTGCCCTCAGCCAAGAAGCAAAGACTGTTCTCAAGGCTATATGAAGGCAGAGCAGCCTGGCGTTCTGGGTCCCCTTCGGGAGCCAGGCGATGGGCCTGCATGTTGTTGGAATCAGAGAATGAAAGTCAACTAGTTTAAGGGCACTGGGGAGTTAAGGGGCTGGAGACCCCAGAGTAAGAAAACCCTTCTCCTGCGACCCTCCACGCTGGGTGGGCCAGCTCCCAGCTCTGCTCTCCTGCCATGTCCAAGTTCACCCCATGGCCAACACTGCTCCCATGGCAGCCAGCGCTTCCTGCACCCATCAGGGAGCCCAGTGGAGGCACATAAAAGGCAGCATCCCCCCCATGGAGTCACATGGGGGCCCCCCATGAGCAGTGTGCCATGTGGGAGGCCAGTGAGGGTGTGTCTAGACCCTAGTGCCTGTATGACCCCTCGTTTTAAAGATGGGAAAAGTAAAGCCCGGGAGGGGCAGAAAGTTCCCTGCAATTTCCCTGGGTATTTAACAAGAGACGGGCCACAGCCAGGGCCAGGCCCCACACTGCCTAGGAAGATGCCAACCTTCTCCCACCTGTCAGTTACAAGGCCTGAAATGCTACTCCAAGAGATTCTTTCCCTTGAATCTAAAATCCTCAGCTGTCTGGGGTAACAGACTCCCTGACAATGAGCACCACTGACCCTTACTGACAATTCTCCAACTTTTTCTTGCTTTGAGCTGCTCATACAGATGCCATATTCCCATTCATAACATTTCTCATTCCACAAAGTGGATCTCAACTTGGGGGGCGGGTGCCGGGGAAAGAGGCTCAAGCCCATTGGAAGAGGGGAAGGAAAGAGGGCAAATGTGGTGAGTGTGTGAGTGTGTGTGTGAGTGTGTGTGTGTGGGGAGGGGGTGTGGGGGTGTAGGGCTAACCAGGGTTTGGCTTTAGGCCAAAAGATGACAGGTCTTAGGTCAGTCTAGAGTTGGTGGGGGTCTGTTGAGGGGTGAGGGAAAGGAAGAGATTTGAAAATGAATTTAACTCAATTGGAGAAGCAGGAAAAAGATTTTTTCTCCCTGAACTTGGGCTGAAAAAAAAAAATTAAATGATGCTGGGATCTGGGGGTAACGCTAAACATGACTCAGAAGCTGAGGTTCCAGCCTACAGTGTGGTGTACCTGGCATTGACCAGTCCTAGGGTTTTAGGCAAGTTGCTTCACTTGAACAGTCCAGTTGTGGGGCTCAGTTCCCTCAGCTCTGAAAAGGGCAGTAGGGATAGTGCTGGCCACAGAGGGGTGTCAGGAGAAAGAAAGGAGTGAAGTTGTGGGGCAGTCCAGTGATCAAATGTCTGCTGGGAGTAGGCGGCCTGGTCAGTGCATCTTTAATGACTTCCTCTCCTCCACTTCCCAGGAGGAGTCTGGAACCTACAAGGTTTCCCTAGAACAGGAAACCTTTGGGTCACCTGATACCCAAGAATGAAGACTAAGGCTGGGGGAGCCGGTTCTTGAGGTAGGGAGCTCAGCAGCCCCGTGTCCGCTTTATTGAGTACGGGGTGGTACACTGAAATTTGCGGTGATCTATTCGACACTTTTTTCCTAGTGGTGGATCAAGAAAAAGCCCCTGATGTGTCTAACTTGGGGTGGCAAAGGCAGTCTGGGAACCTGAGTAGCCTACACTGGGCGCTTATCTATTTGAATCTTTCTCAAGACCAAGCCCAGCCCCTCCCTATGGTCAGATTTCCAGGCCCTTCCTCCTCTCAGTCATTAGCCAGTCACCCTGGGGCCTGTCACCTAGTCATAAAGCTGTGGTTGGGTTGTAAATGCTGCCCGGAAGCTGGGGGAGGGGCACTGGCGAGTGGGGGAGGCCGAGCTCACCTTCCTTCTTCATGCCAGCCCGGAAGCACTTCTTGAGCCTGCAGTAGCGGCACTGGTTCCTCTTGTCTTTGTCCACCACGCACTGTCGGCTAAACCTGGGGAAGGCGTTGGATGGTTGGGTGGAGAAGGGACAATCTCCCCCTCCATGGATTGAGCTAAAACCCTGGCCATCTGGTTGACCTCCAGCCTCCTTGCTTTAACCCTTCACCCCAGGATTTCTCGCCGACCAAGAGAAAGGCTGTATGGACTCTGTCCTGCTAACTATGGGGAAACTGAGGCGAGGGGTGGGCACACGTGGCCCCAGATCACCCATCTAGGTGTCAGAGCTGAGCTGGGAGCCCCAGACTCATGAGGATCACTGCCACATTCCAGAGAGCCCAAATGCTCCCAGGCGCCGGGCAATGGCTGAGAGGAAGTATGTGGTTCCTGTAAGCCACTGTCCACGAGTGTGGTGGGGGCATGTCCTGAGCCCTGAGTGTCAACCCAGGCTCTGTCACTGATTCAGGCTGAGTGACCTTAGACAAATACCTGGCTGTCTCCAAACCACACCTTCCTCATCTATAAATGGGGGCGTGGGGGAAGCCTCAGAGGGGCGTTGACAGGTAAAAATGAGATAATACTCCAGCAGGACTTGGCACAGTATCTGTACAGGACTCATAAGTGACAGTTGCTAGTACTTCATTACTGCTGTTGCAGTAACAGGAGATGCTATTAAAGGAGAGATCTTCAAGGCCTAGGGAAGCCTTGGGATCCGTCGAAAGGCCTGGGGCCAGTCCCTTATGTGCCCCAGAAAAAGCCCCATGTTAAAGGGCGAACCCCATCCTCTGAAGTGTCAGCAAAGGCTTGATCCTAAGCCTCATGTATCCTCATTTGCTAAATGGAAAAATAATGCTGGGATTTCAGGGACAGGTTGAGTCACACAAGGACACAGTGTGGTGGGATAAAGTCAGTGCTCAGCAAAGGGCTTATGGTCAGTCAGTGAGGCTTCTGGAACAGGTGTTCACACCTGGACCGGCCAAGCCTAAGAAGCCAGAGGCAGCTTGGCGGTGTGGGGGGAAGGGCAGAGGCCTAGAACCCAGGCAGGAGAAGAAACACCCTAGGAACATCAGCCAGAGCGCACCACTCCCTGGCTGGAGGTGCCGAGCCCCC